CATACATACATACATACATACATACATACATACATACACTTTTTCTATCTTCTTTTGTCGCGATCTCCAACTCTCCTCCTCTCAAACGGTCTATTCTAACTTACAGCCTTGTGGCATCAACGATCGGTGATACATCGCAAGATTGACCAATCATCATGGACGTTCATGCTTCTCTTGGTGAGTGACTATTCGGATTTACCGCTGGATTGCGGTGATCCACCGACGACATTCTCCTTGGAATGGATCACTCCGGAAACGGCGGTTGTTCTGGGAGCTATCGAATACAAGATGGAAGAAAAAGATTTTTTCTAACATTAGACTTCCCTCACTCCTTCTCCTGTCTACCATCCCCCCCCCCGCAACCCCTGGAGTCCTTCAGATTTCCCATTTACATTGGTAAGCTCTTAGCCTAGTGTTGGAGAGAGTGAGAGAGGAAGATTTCAAATCTTATTGAGAAACATTAATGCGAAGAATTTCGTTACGGTGGCGACTGCTTTGATACCTCGAAGGCATTACTGTTTCATCTGGTCTTGGAGATAATCATGCGCTTGGTATCATAAACTTTGGGGAGGAAAGTTTGTTGACCGCCTGTGGGAATCGGAATAACGTCAAATTAGATTAGGACGGAAGATCAAGTGAACAGTGCGAATTCCTGTAGCGTCAGAGTCATCTGTGAATACAGTTCGTTCTATTCGTAACCGCATGCAAGCATACATCGCCAATCTTAATCACACATTGGTTCTTTTGTTACTGTTCAATGGCTATCAATATGGACTATTTGTTAGCTTTCTATTATACAGCTAATCTGATTGGTTGTGATCGGATTGATCTGATTGGTTGAGATATTCCAATTTGTGGTTGGCTGTCTGGAAGCCGGATAGTGATACGTGAGTCATGCCATCCTCTGGTCCCGTTCCCCGATCACCACACAACCCGATTGAGAGTTACACAATATCAATTGTCTGATTATACGAGATCATTGGTGTTTGTGTGCGTATGTGTGTATTCACAGAAAACTTCCGGGCAGGATCGCAATTGTTGTACACAGATATGGATATTGAAGTTCAAATTCATTCATGAAATTCATTCGATTCAATCAAAGGCCCAGACCAAAAATTAGAATGTATGAATTGCACTTTTAAATGTGTATTACAATAAGTAGCACATGAAAGACCCGACAAATTTTCCCTAAAAGCACAGAACCAATTTCGCGGTTTTCGCCCTTCGTCAAGTATGTATATGGGGGGGGGAACCAATCGAAATGGGGTCCGCCGAGAGGCGATAGTGTGGATAATGTCTGTGTGTGTATGTATATACAGGTGCCAGGGTAAGGGAATCATGGGCATGGATCGATGAGGCAGGTGAGAATGACAAAGGCAGCGTAATGGAACAAACATATTCATGGTTCGTGCTTGTGTGCAAACGCATGGAGAACAGTCATAGGCACAGAGCAATGGGTGAATGAAATGGACAATGCATGGGCAGTATGGGTAGATGAACAACAGTATTTTGTTGCAGCATCTGTTCACAATGAATGATCGACGGTCATCTGCTTACGAATGCGTGTGGGGTAACGCAACAATCATGAATAGAAAACGGTGTGATTAGGGTATAGGGCAGATGAATGATATGTAAAACAACGAATCACGGGGAAACACAAGAACAAGGACAATTTCTGTTTGAACGAAAGAATGACAGTCTCGTGAAAACCAGTTCAAAGAATATGAAGGAATTAACTGTGTGAGACAGGTGAGTAGATAAGTTAATTTCATTTTATTTACGACACGATTAAGTAATCATTGATTATTCTTAGTTAATTTCCTGGTAGACCTGATCCACAGCCAAATTCCACTAACATTTTTCATTTAAGCTATATGGGGATATATTTTGCACAAGAACGTTCCCAATATAAAAGTTTATATCAAAAGCTTATTGGAGCCAAATAAAGAAGAGACTAAGGGACAGTTTTCAACTCTTTTACAGATAAAATGTCACTAACCAGACGGCCCTTCTAAGTAAACTTTCACTGCTTCACATCATGCTACTCATGAGTACTATACTTATTTTGAACAATACAAGAATCGCAGCACTTGATATACCGCATAAGTATGCATATAGTCATTTAATAAATTTAATAAACGTATATTAAACAATGACAACAACCAAAACAATAATAATGATGATTTAAAATAATAATATTATTTTAAAAATATTATAACATAAAAATAACAGTAAGAAATGATGATAAGAATAGTAAAATTGGTGTAAATCATAAAATTACAATCATGGTATCAGATCTAACTTTGGAACGGATGTCTTTGAGGAAATTGTACTTCGTGCTCATAGTATTATATCCGTGCACTTCCATTGGATACGGTTTCTCTCACATTTTTCCTTGGATGTTCGCTTGTTCATTGACTTGAAAAAGGCCTTCGAAGAAGGTCGAAACGTCATCAACCGAAAATTGTTGTTTTTGTTTGTCTCTGGTTTTGGCTAACCGAAACATCCCTATACGGATTTAATATAAAATAATAAATTTGAGGTTAACAAGGGGGACATATTTTACGTAACTCTGAAAAACTCTATGTCATTTGGATAGGGGTTAATAGGAACATTATATTTGACTTGACTTGACTTATCCTGCTCCAAAACGCCTCGACATTCATGGTACATGTACGTTCCATTGTTGGTTTCTAAATCAATCTATGGGACCAATCCATCTAGTCACCCACTACTTTTCGATCCTCAAACCAGGTAGCTTTCCAAGCAAACCTTTCAATTTTTCAGCCGATGCCTCCGCAAACTCCGCCTCCTGAGGGATTGTATCTGGCATTTTCAGTTTTCACTCTTCAGTATTGAGGGCGGAGGATAGGATACCCGTGTAATCCGAGTGTAGTTTATCCACAGACCATCACCATTTATAGGACCATTGAAGAACTTGACTAGGTTGGTAACCATATTTAACGAATACCGTTCGTAATACCTAAGCAATAATCTTCCGATTGTCCCACCGGAGTAGCGGCATGCTAAATACAAACTAGCGTCGTGTAAAGGGAAATTTATCCAAGAAGCGATTACCGTTTTGTTTCCAGCATATTTTTTTAACTTTTAAGCAAAAAACACTCAAGATGGTCATTCTTAGGACTTTTAGTGTTTTTTATTAAATTGACGATAATTCCCCTTCTTCACTCAACTGTTTGAGGACGCTTTGAGCACGTTACTCTATCTACTTATGAGTAATATGGTTATCGACCCCGAAGTTATCCCGAGCCCTGTTAGACGAAAATAAAACCAATCCGATGTAGCGCAGGAGAGATAATAGATATCTATTCAAGCTGCTACCGCTTAGGTTAGTATGATAATACAAAAATGATATAATTCAATTTGTTTTAACTTGTTTCGTACCAATGCGTACCGCCCGACTTTGAAATGGGGCCAGCCAACCGCGGTCGGTTTGAATACACTCGAACGCGCGATAACTAAAACTACCCGAATCGATTAATCATGCACTATTCACTTGTCACTGTGCTTATTTATTCTGTGTGTGCGTTAGCCAATCCGATAGCCAATAATTTTGATGAATACAGATTGAAGAACGGTATAGACAAAAACTTTATCACGGCCAAGGATTATCATAGACCGTACTGGTTTGGCAATAATAATAATGATGATAATGATAATGCGCCATCTAACGGACCGATTGCTACTGACGATGATGATGATGATGACGAGAACGGTGGTGATGATCCCTACTCTGGATATGCCGGCAGATACATGAATTCGTACAATCCATATACACCTTATTTGGCTAGCTCATCAACTTTCAAAACGGATGAAGATATTCAGGACGAGCAGTTACTCTCGTTGGTTCAAGAGAGGGCAAAAATTGCAGAAGGACCGCAAAGCACGATGCATGAGATTGTGAAGCATATCAAAACCTACGGTCCCGTTGTGTTGGATGCTATAAAATGGTTCGGTTAGTTTCTTCTGCCAAACTATACGCTGCGGTTGTTGTTGTTGTTGTTGTTGCAATTTCGAAAGATATTGAGAAATATTTATATAGAGATATATATGTGTATTTGTAATACTATTAGTATGTCTAATAAACTATTATAGTTGAGACTATACGTGTTATCCTTCCTGTACACTGTTATTTGAACGTTCACTCATCCATACACAATCAGACCACATCTGATTTGATAGTGTTTCGGCTGTACAATTTGCATACAATGTACAAAACTGTTTCTTCCGTTTTCTCTGGACTAGTATTGAAAAACGTTATGTTTTGATCATGAATAAAAGAACGCGGAATCACAATTTTGTATTTCTTACTACACATATCGTGATGAACAATCGCGGGCGAAGAGGAGGGGACGGGGGGGTGAGGGGTGATCGGACCGCATAGCCACGAGGATGTGAGAGCTGTAGACCCAAGTTGTGGAACTCGAAGCGATGCATTAAATATTTAAAAAAAAATTAGATCTATACACAGTGTTGGTGAGAAAAACGGGGGGGGGGGCCTGCNCACACACACACACACACATGTCAATGTGCTAATCAATAGGCTAAAATGAAAGACATCTCAATGCCTGTCGCGTAATCGCTTTGATACTCGGCGAAACAATGGGAGTGAAGGTTTTCCATCAACCCACAATGTACATTCGATAGGCATGAAATACAATTTATCTTGTTGTGCAAAATACTTGTGAAAAAGCTAAATATCATGGAAATAGTTATTGGTTGCGGAAAACAGTTAATGCAAAATGTCCTCATTGGGTGTTTGACTCGCGGATCTCAAAAATCGATGGATTGACTAGACCACAAACTGCTGATTAATGAAGACCGTGGTCTGGGTGTCAAATAGTGAAAAACAACACTGTGTACCTCTTTCGGAATTCTATTTTTGGGGTCGGAGCTCAAACGGGGAAAGTTTGATCCGTAGCAATTCGTAGCATTTTCATGCCTCTAATCCAAGCACATAACATAGTTGTGGATGGATTCTGACACTTGTGATGCACATCGAATACCTTTTCTGAATTAAATCAACTGTGATTACAATTCACACTGATTCTGCCTGACTTTCTTGCTGTTCATTGGATCTTCAATTCGAATATGAGTTCGCATTCATCGAGTCCCAGTGCTTCTCCACCAATCACGTGCTACTCATCAGTGGAATCAATAGTGGAGTCTTTGATACGAGCAATCCATGATACAAAGAAAGCTAACAGAATCTCTACCTGATCGGTAATCATTCGTAGATAATTCAAAAATTGATCGAACAATCCTTAGAAATATATAGGGTTCCGTTTATC